CAATTACAGCTGCTTCCCAAATCAGTCTTCATTTGTGCTCGGCGCATGATTATGGTGATGGAGTGCTTGAGCGCTCCCCTCCCGATCGGCGAGCGTCCCCGGGCCATCAAACTCTCCGCGTGCGAGCGAGCGATAACTCCTGACGCACTCGCCGACGACGACACCGACTTCGTTCAAATCGTTTCTGCGCCCAACTAATTTCATCGCGCTTGAAGTCTATTCGGGCGCATGTCTGTATTGTGAACTCCGCTTCTTTTGCGCACCGTACGTAGCCAACCGTGCTAATCGGAGGTGCGGAGCAGAGGCGCGGTGGTCAGCGCTGCGAACCCACCGATCGGACTTCTATCCCCAGCCATAGTAAGCGCTTGCCGAACCGGCCCTGTTCTTTGCCCCCCCTCCCCCCACACCGCCCACTTCAAACCTCATGCCCCACATGGAAATGTAATGACCCACACTGGTGTGGGGGTCATGTTTTTTTTCTTCTGAATAACAAATGGCTGGAAAGGAGTTATGTATCAAGTCTACAAAACAAATGAAATCTCACACGGCAAGATGCTGAGTCAAGTCGCTGCGTGTGCCCGTGGGCCCCTGGGGCCCTCACCACTCCCACGCCCGCTGTCACCTGAGTGCATCCAGGAGGAAAATACATAAAGATTTGTTTTGAAAATTCAAATCGAATAATTTTCCCACCAGACATTGGTCATGGCACTGTGACGTAATTAACTGTGCGTGTGCAGAATTTGGCCAAGTTGGAATCTTGTTGCCATAACTGTGGCAGAGCACCCAGTTCCCATCTCACTGCACCTTGTACAATGCAACACAGGCCAGTCACGTCCCTCTAACTCTGCGATCGCTGCTACCAAGGTCCCCGTGAACCTCCCCCGCCGCTGATTCCTCAGCCCGTGTCTAGGTCAGCCACACGCCGCCTGTTTCGTCTCATCCACAGGATGTTCGCTCGCCACTATTCTTTCGCTGCTCCCTCCCTCACACTGCTGCACTTTGGAATTCCCCCCCCCCATCTATTTTCTACAAGTTCTTACAACCATCTTGCTCAAGTCAAGGAAGGCATCAACTCTGAGTATTATTTAGAAAGATGGTAATTAACTCGCATATTACAATGTCAACGCTGGTGTTTGTTGATCTTATGGTTTGCATTTTGGTGCCTTTGGGGCCTGCGCTCAACAATTGCGAGGGATTAATAAACGAGAACCTTGGTCGTTGTGCCGGTGGCGTTGAGCCAGCGACGCTCTCCGTGCGTGTGGTCACGGCCACCACAGCAAGGCCGCCGGCCCGGGGCCACCGGGCGACGTGGAGTGCGCAGCTGCTAAAAATCTGTGCCGCCACCGCCGCCGCCGCAGTTTTGCTGCCAAAAAAAAAGTTGATGATCACGACCACGAGTTTCACTCGAGGCCTGGGCTCGCGCAGCTTTGGAAAGTAAATTCAGAAAGTAGTCGCCTGTCTGTCACCGCCCGATTACTCGCTGGAACCTTGCATCATGAGCAGGGTGTATATTGCCTTGGGTCCGACTTCACGTGAACGTTGTTTCGTGTACTCGTGTGTGCGTGTGTCTCTATGTCACCACCGTATGTTTGTTTCGCTTTGACCCGGGAGCATGTGGGCTGAGTTTGCTGGTCGGTTGCAATTGCGATCGCGGTGCATCGCACATCTGTTGATAGAAGAAATACAGCGCCGATTTTGTCATTTTCTAAATGCATTGCGTATGCTTTTGCAACGTACAGTGTTCAGACGTGTCTAATGTCTGTTCATGCCTGCGATATTTGTATTATTTTAATCCTGAGACTGACTACACTTGATAGGCCAGGTGGGCCTGGCGAGAGAGACAAGATTCACGTCAGCGTGGGTGTCGTTTCGACACGGCTCCTGAGCAAAGGGTCCAGGGAATACAGTACCGTCAGAGTTGTCACCGATGACAGTTCACTTGTTTCTGATTTGAGCGAGTTTATGATAAAACAGACAATGGCAGGAAGTTACAGAGTGGAGCAGTGTGAGGGAGAAGCAGAAGGGGGAGTGTTGTGACCGGCAGTGTGGTGAGTGAGTGGATGGGTGAGTGTGTTGTTGCCACGTGCAGTGTGGTGGACGAGACGAAGCAGTCATTCCGGTAGACAGAGTCCTCCTCATGGGTGGAGGAGTCCCGAGTGGAGTTCCCGGGAACGGTCACCATTGATGGTAGCAATAGAAGAGTAACAGGCAGGTGACTGGCTGCTGGTGAGCGAGGGACTAGGTGTGAACAGTGAGTGCGGGGATCATCATTCAATCGGACTGCTTCACAACGACATACTAGAGGGTACTGGCAGGGCCGACTTCACCGGGGCGTTTAAACCGCGTTCACTCACAAACCATGCTCCTTGCGGCGCGCGTGCCGGCACGTGGAGTTGTCCGTCAGGTTGCGTGGTGGGAAGGGCTCGTGTGGTGTAGGAGCCGGTCCAAGCTGCGCGACAGCGGCAGTCACCGAACGCCTGTTTGTATTGATGGGTGCCATTTTTGACGAGCCAAGGCATGTTTTGTGGTCATGCCTTGCCATCAGTCTCTGAAATTCAGTGAAACTGTGAACACTCCTTATTTGCCCCATGGCAATCAACTTTAGTGACACATTTTGAGAGAGAGAGCGAGAGAGAATTTGATAGAACTGTAGTCTATACTCATGATCACCGTCTTGTTTAGGCTGTTCACATTGTAACCAATGCCGTTTATTAATAAGAATTGGTCGGTGCAGTGGCGAGATATTTGGAGTTTGTGTGTTCTCCCCGTGGTCGTGTGGATTTTTTCTCCGGGTTATCCGGTTTTTCCATCCACATTTCGAATCAATATCACGCATTTACAGTATTCGGCTGCTATAAATGTCCACGTGATAAGCCAGTTCTTTGAGCTTTCATTTGTGGCCAGGTCGCTTCTGGTAAAATAAAAATAGTTCTATAGTTTAGTTTAATGAGCCCCTGTGAATTCAAATCGTTACACCGAGACGAGTTTTCGGGTAGTGCAACGTGTTGTCCACGTGTTGTTCGGTACGGTGTCCGACGTTTCGCTGCATGTGCTGAGAGTTTCTTCTGACAAAAAGACTCCACGGAGCTGTGCAGCGGAACATGTTACATGATTATGCATTATTCCAGCAGCCAACCGCATATTCTTGCAATTCAAACACAGATGCCGCATGTCTTTGCGGATGGAGTGGAACAGGATTCCTGCGTTACCATGGGGAGACATCTTAAGCTTTTTTGGCAGCGATTTGCGTGAAGCTTTATGTTGCTCTAGGTGGAGCTGCAGCGAGCGCTAAGAGTGATGATGATTTTTATTATATCACTTTCCTTGGCGCTGCCAAGTGCGGTTTCTCTCACATGGTGGGCAATGGAATTGGCCGACGTTGAAAGGCAGCCATCGATTCTGAAAGCCCTCATTTGGGGTCTCTCCCATTCGGCAAAAAAACCCCATTATGGTTTGTCCGGCTTTATGTACTTTCTTCTGTGGCCCTCGCCACGAGAATGTGGAATTGCCGCCCCTTTCTCTGGCCGCCGGTGCTGACGAGAACCAGTTTGTCGTGTGAGCAATGAGACAGCTGTGACTTGGCAGTGGCATTGTCTTCCGACGTTGCTGGGGGAGAGGGGGGTCGGGGGGGACCAATGTGTCACTCGTAAATGTGAGATTCTGCTTCAGTAAAGATAAGATTGTGAATTGTCTTTACTGCGGCAGGCCAGTTGGTTCTGGAAAGCAGTGATGCACAATTCCACACCTCCGATTAGCGCAGTCGGCTATGTACGGTGCGAAATAGGTTCTACATCCATGCAGTGTCAACCTGGATATACTGCAAGAGGGGAGCACTGCACGTGACTTAGTTGTTTTGAGTGGTGCGTAATTACTCAACTCACAACAACCAGGACTTTTAATGGACTGAGGGGTGGGGGGTAGATTTACAGATGTACCAGGAGATCCACCGTAAACACGAGGAAGATCCTGGGAAAACCAGGACCGGTGGCAACCAAAGCTCTCGATGACTTCACTTTGTTGACCGCTGACTCTGGTGGCGGTGTAGCCGTCCAGTGTGCAGGCTGTACAACTGCACCGGGACCCACGGGCCGGAAGGGACCCAGGCGCCGGGTTACAAGAGGGCACACATTGGACACGGGGTGGGGGGGCAGTGGTAGTGGGGGGTGGGCTAATTTAATTCCTCGCACGAGGGTCCATTCCAAGCACGCTACGCCACTGGCTAAATCCATGGGTCCGGGGGGCTCGGGCGCCTCAGGCGTGTGGAGACCGTGGCCGCTGTCGCTGCAGAGAGGTCCGCCAGGGTGTGCGCTGTGCGCTGCGTCTAACGTCCAGCGAACGACGGATTCGGTTGGCTCTGTGAGCGTTCCACGGGTGTGCTTGGTTTTAAGCCGTGCGCAGCCTCCTGTTTGCTGCTCACGGAAGCTCTTAGAATCTGACGAGCGTGCGCGTGTGTGTGTGTGCGCGTGCGTTTGTGTCTTTGTCTTTTAGTGTGTAAGGGTTCACGTGTGTGTCCATGGGAACCGGTGGCCTCGTGGTTATTGCACTGCCCTATGAACACGGCCGCTTGAGTTCAATTCCCGGATGCGGCTAACATCAGTGATGAGTGTGACATTTGAAATGGCCCTGGGTCCTCCCATAGGTCCACTCTGACTTTAATTGAGTAACACCTGGTGCACCACGTAAAACATCAGCGCTGTGGAGACAACGGCGGCGATGCATGGTGCTGGCCACACTACTGGGCGGGGCTCGGGGTGCATCTTCACCTCGTGTGTCTTGTGTGTAGCGCACACAAAATGCTCGCCATGTGTGGCTCCGCGTTTCTGTTGCGAGTGGACGGTGGCCGTTGACGCGATGCGGTGCCGCGTGCGTCTCCACGCCCGGCCGCCCCATCCCGAGGGTCGTGGGAAGGGGTGGCCATTCTTGTTACGTCCGTGAAATTAAAACATTTCTATACCCCCCCCCACCCCTCTCTCCTCCCTCTTTTTCATCGGCGAGTACAGGCGGCTGCACGATCGGCGTGACCTTCCCTGCCTGCGGATTCCACCAGGACCCCGAGGATGACTTTGATTGGGAAGAGGTTCCCACCCACGAGATGGACTCCATTCCCGGCCTGGAGGCCCCGGCAGGTGAGGGGTGGGGGCGCGGCGTGGTCAGCGACGGCAGCGTGGCTCCAGCTCTGTCCATTTGGCTTGTCTGTGCGTAGCGCGGGGTCACGGTGACTCTGGTGAAGATGATGCAACGTGAATGGAACTGTGTAGTGTGAGGTTGCGTTTGCTGTTAGGGATGTGCCCTTGAGGAGCCCGGCTACAATTATCACGGAGTCGCCCACCCCCACAGCGGCGTCGTCTCACCGCGGCCCGTGCCTGTGCACCGCACGGCGCGCCTGGCCCGAGCGCCTCCGTTACAATCTCCGATTTAAACACGAGGACAGCGTGCAAGTCTGGTAGCGTCACCGAATCGGTGCATGTGTACGGTGTTTCTCGGTCACAACACCTGTGGGATCATGGTGGGGTGTCGTGCTGCTTCGCTTTTTGTTGAGGTTCAAGTGCGCGAGCTCCTGGGTTTGATTCTGGGTTCCGGTGGCCTGTGATTTAAACCGGGTCCCGAGTGCTGTGAGTTGATGGTCTCGGCCCGGTCGCCAATGACTGCGCAACAAAAAACAATCTCCTTAAACTCGATCCTGCGGTTAATTTAGCTGATTTCCAGCTTTGAGAAAAAATAATCGTAATCATTGGTTTGAGTGTCCTACATCGACGATTACTCTCATACGCAGAAGCAAGTGGCAAAGTTCAGGCTTCTTCCATCCGCGGAGTAGAGGCCGCCCGAGGGGAATCTCGGACGTCGATGTGCAATTCCCACTTCTGTGTTTCCTTCTCAAACACAGAGGGTGACTCGTAAGCATCGTGTCATTGTGTCTTTGTGTCACGCTGCCATTGTGTCATTGTGTCACGCTGCCATTGTGTCACGCTGCCATCGTGTCATTGTGACACCATGCCATTGTGTCATTGTCACGCTGCCATTGTGTCATTGTGTCACGCTGCCATTGTGTCACGCTGCCATTGTGTCATTGTGTCACCGTGTCATTGTGTCACGCTGCCATTGTGTCACGCTGCCATTGTGTCACCGTGTCATTGTGTCACGCTGCCATTGTGTTATTGTGTCACCGTGCCATTGTGTCACGCTGCCATTGTGTCACCGTGTCATTGTGTCACGCTGCCATTGTGTCATTGTGTCACCATGCCATTGTGTCACGCTGCCATTGTGTCATTGTGTCACGTGCCATTGTGTCACGCTGCCATTTTGTCACTGTGCCATTGCGTCACGCTGCCATTGTGTCATTGTGTCACGTGCCATTGTGTCACGCTGCCATTGTGTCACTGTGCCATTGCGTCACGCTGCCATTGCAGCCACTCGAGCCAGTGGCACTGGGCAAACAGAGCAAGGCCTTTGCTTTGCTCTGTTTGTCTCTCGGAGGTGGCAGTCCCACGCTGCCGCAGTGCAATGGTCAGCAAGCTGGACTGGAAATCAGATCCTATCTCTCGGCGCGGCAGTTGACAGGATTGTGCGAGTATCTTGCATCTCCCCGCCTCTGTGAACCCAGCAGTATAGGTGGATACACCACAGTTAGACGATCGGCAAGGCGCGGGCGGTGGGGTAAAGTGTGGGTACACCCACCTCTTCCAAGACATCAGTGCAGTGTGGAAGAGTAGGCCAAGTACCCTCAGGAGGTGCTCTCCTGAGTTGTTTCAGTAGAGGCCCTTCGATCAGCAGGAACGTGAACATGTAATTACAGGGCTGCATCTTTAAAAACAAATGTACTTAGTCACAAACAATTTTGGAACCGTTACATTTGCATGCCATTTAAAAATAAACAAACGACGTCCACACAGGGAGATGGAATTCACATTATTCAGGCTCCTTCACTAACAGATGGGCCGTTTATGCAAATTCTCATACTTTGGCTCATGGCACAATTAATGTTGTGCCATGAGCCAAAGTTGTTTGGCGATGTGGAATGGATGCAGTGGTGTTTTAGCGATGTGGAATGGATGCAGTGGTATAAAATAATCCATTTAAAACACACAATAGAACAACTGGTTTGTGCCCAAGATGTTTAACGGCAATATGTAAATATACAAATACATCCAAGCTGCATTCAATAGATTGGCGGTGTTTGTAAGTGCGCTGTGGGCCGTGGCTTCCCGCGGGCAATGCCTAGGCAAGGCTCGTTGAGGAGGCCCCTGATCAGGTGAAGGTTATTAGCGTGGCACCGCAGGGCGCTTTATTTACCGATGGAAAGCAGTTCAATTATGAGTGGTGGCAGGGCCAGGGATTGAGAGCCCTTGCCACGTTTTTTTGATCGCCACCGCTCAAAAGGGTCGCCACTTCCTGAGCTGTACAAACAAACAAAAAATTACGGGACGTATCGTGGAAAAAACAGAAAGAATAACATCTCAACGACATGAGCGTGCGTTGTCTTGAGCGGTGCGCTTTGAGGCAACTGACAAACCTGTCGTGGCTGGCTGTTGGACGATGTCGTGGATTTCAACCCTCACACCCACATCTGGGAGGAGCTGGCAGAGGCAGTCGTGACATCTCCCCCGCTCTCAATGTTATTTCCTCTGGGCGTTGCGTTGCGTGCGTGGGGAGTTCGGAGGAGCGTGTCGCTTGTAAATTTGTGTTATTGCGGCAGGCCAGTTCGTTCCCATAATTCGGTGAAACAAAATATCTGCGGCATGTCACGTGCGGAAGAATATCTCACAACACTGCAAGAGGGGAGAAAAACACGTGAATGCGTTGTCTCGAGCGGTGCATTATTAGACAACTGACAAAAACGGGGACTTTTCATGTTCCGTGGAAGACAAACAGATTTCCCAGGAGAGCCACTTCAAAGAGAGGACGATCTTGGAAAAAACCAGGACAGGTGGCAACGCCAAGCTCTCACTGAGTTGACTCTCCTGACTGTCGACGACACTGTCGTAGCACTCGAGTGTGCAGGCAGTGCAACTGCTCCGGGGCCTATGGGTCGGAGTTCCGCTGGCGCTGGGCTATGGGCACCGGTGTGGGGGAGACTGGACAGGGTCCCTCGCGACGTTCGTCGCGGAGAGAGTTCAACACGGCCTGTGCGTGGATCCATTTGTCCGGGGACCGGTAGAGGTGGCAAATCGTCACTGGGATGCACCGGGTGAGCTGACTGGGGGTTGCAGAGTCGCTGGTTGTTTGGTGGGGGGGGGGGGGGGGGGGGGACTGGTGCGGTGGTGTGGCGTGGTTGGCATGGGCTCTGGTGCAGTTGCTCTACAGCTGGGCGGCTGGGCAGGTGTGGGCTGAAGGTGGGTGTGAAGGTGGGTGTGAAGGTGGGTGTGAAGGTGGGTGTGAAGGTGGGTGTGAAGGTGGGTGTGAAGGTGGGTATTCGCGAGGGGGCGGAGATTGTGATTGACTTAGATTATTCTTAAGCCTGGCTATGACCAAATCAGCCGGAAGGCGCAGGAGACCCCAGAAGATGTGTGGGCTCATTGGTGGACACCGATACGCAAGCGGTCTGCTAGATACTGGGGGGCGGCCTCCCACCCGCCCCCTTGTGCAACACCTTGTAGGTGGGCAGCCAAAGATTGAACTCTGCCCCAAACCAATGTAGCTTGTCACGCAGAAGACGCATGATGTGGTCAAGCCTCTGACTGCTGCAGGTGGACCTCACAGTGGCGTTCGTGGCCGACTGCGGGCGGTCTAGTCTGTGTTGAGGTGTCCCGGCCAGAAGAGACGAGCAATGATTGTTGCTGGCCGCTTGGCACTTTTGGGCCCTTTGGGCCCTGTGGGCCCTGTGCTCAGCAGCCGCGACCAAGAGAAAGAAAAATATAAAAATAACAAAGCAATAAAGGAAAGCTCCACATGTGCACGATCAGCCTGCCTCTCCTGATGTAAAATTCCCAGGTGCCGTTTAACTTTTCTTCCTGCAGCCCGCAGCTGCGGTGGCGAGTGAGTTTGTCGTGTTGCTGCGTGGTGTGATATTTGTTTATTCGTTGTTACGTTGGGAACTGATGAAGCCAGTCCAAGCCACGCCACGCTTGGCCTGCAGGTGCCCTGAGCCACTGAGAGCCGTTCCGTGACATTTCCGTTCTTGCCTCCCAGAAAGGGGCTTTTGTTTTTGTTGCGAGAAAAATGAAAGAGGCGAGAGAACTATGAGAAATATGTCGGCCCCTTAAGCAGGAGAGCCTCGCTCAATCCGAAGACTCTTATTCAGTTCCTGCTACATTGTTGACCAACACCAATGGCATGTTTTTAGCTATGCTAGGAAACCAGACAACCTGAAGCAAACCCATGCATAATAGGGGGAGAACATACAAACTCGATATAGATAGATAGGTGCCCAAGTCAGGAATAGAACCCAGTTATTTATTGCTTTGAGGCACACGTGTGACCACTGTGGTTCCAAGCCATGTAACACCCAACGCTCTGCACAGATGGATCGCTCAACTGATTTTTATTCTTGCCACCTCTGCGCCTAAGCCTAGAATTCCCGCTTTTCCAGAGTCTCCCATCCAAGGACTAACCACGCTCGACTTCGCTAAGCTTCCGAGATCGAACAAGGCAGCTGCTTTGTGCATTACCTTGAGAGCATGGTTTAATAATCAGCAGGTGATACCTGGACTCGCCACTGAAATGATATTAGTCCACTGAGTCACACGAACTCCTCCAGCGGGGAATTTCTAGTGGCTGCTCCATTTGCCTGTACTGCAGGCTAAGCTTGGCTCTGGTAAATATGTACTGAATGGAAAGTAAAATGGCAAGCGACTCCCCAACGAGTACACGATGTTTTGGTTCCCATTATTTTCAATTTATTTCGAACAATTTAGTAATAAATGGTTTCAGTCGACGTTGTTCACTCGAGGTGCTTTCTGTGCCAAAGTCACTCTCAGAAGGACGTTGGAGGGCCACTCACCTTGTCTCTGATAAATGTTGTTGTTGATGTAGTTATTGTTGTCGTTGCAATTGTTTTTGCCAATTTGTAACTCCCCGCCGCTGGGCAAAGGTCTCCCACATTCCCCAATTCCTTTCCCCAGCCGCTTCTGTCCGGTCGCGACCTACGACCTCTGTGATGTCGTCTCGCTGCTGCTGCTGCTGCTGCTGC